CCGCCAGCCTACGGCGTGGTATGTGATATCGATGTACAGGGGCACACGCCGATTAAACAACGGGCACGTCGAACGCCGTTACGGGTATTGAAGAAGTTATACGAGCTGCTGAAAGGACTGCTACGAGCAGGTTTGATAACGTTCTCCAACAGCCCTTGGGCATCACCCATTGTGATAGTGCTGAAGAAGAATGGGGTTGACATCCGGTTATGCATCGACTACAAGCGCGTAAATGCTGTTACGACCGTTATGGAATATGCAATGCCCTTGGTGGACGATTTGTTGACGGACATGGAGGCGTACTTATGGTTTTGCTCGCTTGACGCGGCAAGCGGGTTTTGGGCTGTGATGATGACGGAGAGAGCTCGGAAGGTATCTGCTTTTGTCTGCGCACTTGGGCATTTTGATTGGCGCCGGATGCCGCTCGGTCTCAAGAATGTATCTATGATTTACCAGCGAATGATGGACAACGCCTTATGGGGGTTCGTTCAACCGAAGGGTGGTTGGAAAGAGTACTCTGAGCGTATACAGCTAGCTGAAGAAGACGTCGAACGTACCAAGACAGGGGTGGCAGAGAGTTCAACGAGGCTTCGTTCCAAATTTGAGGCCGACTGAGAGTCCGCATCTAACCCAGCCCCCGTTTCAGGGCTGGTCAACAGTCCGATCGGTGACATGTTCACGAATGGAGAACCGGACGAGTCCTCGTTGGTGCCAGTATTCGACCGAAGATCGTTTGTGGACGATATATGTTTCGGGAGTGAGACGTTCGATGGGTGTCTGTCAACCCTGGATCGATTGCTCCGACAGTTCACCGAGTGCCGCATAAGCGTGAGTTTTACCAAGAGCATTTTTGTTCAACCACGGGTCGATTTCCGTTTTCTCTTGCATGAGGTAGTCCCAGAAGGATTACGAGCAGACGCTAAGAAGATCAAACGGATGACCGAGTTCTCTTTCCGACGAGTAAGAAAGGCATGCAGTCCTTTTTGGGAGCCCTGAACTACTATAGTCGGTTCATCCAGGACTTCGCGGTCTACGCGGC